ATTATTACAAGAATTTATTTAATATGTCAAATTTAGTCAGTGTTGCCTCAACGTCGGCGCTCTACACTTTCGCTTTTCAATATATTAAACTATGTAATGCCAAGTAATAAATTCTAAATACGCAATTACGAAACTGTTACATAAAAATTATATAATAAACTACTAACTAAATCGGAAATTAAAAATAAAATAGTGAACTGTGTTACAAAATGCGAAATTATAAAATTTTAAAGGACGAAAATCGAAATTATCGCGAAGGTGTAAAGGGAAGATAGCGAAGGGAATGATTTGCAAAGAAATATGCTAAAGACGAGCATGGGATATTGAGCTGTTGTAGGATTTCCGGCTCGTATTTATAAAAGATTATTAATTAAGCCAAACTGGCGTCTTGACAAACTGGCATCGTGACAAACTGGCAAATGATCGTCAAAGGGACTAACTGCATTATCAAGAGCGATCTTCAAACGAAATTATGGAGATTTCGGCCGGAATTTGCATTTAATCGTAACACTATTTTTACATTATATTTCAAATAAATAATTAGAGAAAGATTTAATTAAACTAAAGCATATAATAGATAAATATTTAAACGGGAGAAACTATTATGGATTGAATAATTATTCACCAAAGAATGATTAATTTCAAATAAGAATAATAATAGGAATTTTAAAAAGAAAATATGATATCTTTCGTTTTAGGACAAGCCTTAGCATTCCTTATACATTATTCCATTAAATTATTAGAATATTGTAATTATTGTTTCGATTCCGAATTAAATAAAATCAATTTTTTTTTTTTAATTTGAGAATTTGAAAATTTTGATTGGTCACCAAAAAGATTTAACAATTCAATTCAATTAAAACAAGTTTCAATATTATGGCCCATTAAAACTTACAAATAAAATAACAATCCTTTTACGTCTTGAATTATTGATCAAAAAAATTTTCTAATCTTTCTCAATTAGGAGTTTCCACCTCAAATACGGACACATAATTGCCCATTTCGTTTTGACAACCGATTCTCTGCTAATTTCGTAAACTAAATGATAGCGTCACAACACAACTATTACCAAAAAGTATATTATTCGACACGTGAATGTACTGAAAATTAGACTTCATTATTATCACGTCAGAATAGCAATTTTACGCCGAAAAGAGTTGAAATTTCAGTTTGATCGTATGTTTTTATTGTTGTGGTCACTTTATCATATTATTATATTAAAGATAAATCGAATTCCTCCGCTCCGTTAGCGGAAATCATTTTTTTTGCAAAAGGCATTAAAATCGATCCGTTTACCATTATATGGTAAATTGCCGGAAAATATTAATGCAACATCTAACATCATATTTGGCATATAAAAGTAGATTTGTATTTTCGCGGTAGTTTAACTTTTGATTAATAATCATTATAATGATGATGAATGAAAATATATTCATCTATCATTTGTGTTCACGATTTCTAGATTTTTTAAAATTTTATGAACAATGATGCATCATGCGGTACTTGCATATGCATCGTATATATCGAGTTGGAAGTACTATTTTAAAATATTTTTGATACTTAACGACAATCCTGCGAAGTTTCTTATTGAATCACATAAAATAAATGCATCAATCTTGAAATTCGATTTCGAACAACCGAATGTATCGCAAGATCACTATCCAAATATGTAAAGATGAACCAAGAATTTAATTCATTTTAATACACTACAAAATTGGATTCAAACATTAACTAATGTATTAGCAACTACCTCGTATCGGATGAACGTTACACGTTACAATATAAAATAGGCTGTATGACGAGGCATTGTCATTATAAATTACTTATGAAAGTATGATTTATTAGCTTAATAGAAATCTAGAACCTAGTTATGTTCAGATTCAGCATTAACTCTATTATTAATTACCCTGCAGTTTCTCCTTTCTAATGTGAAAGTCCCAAAAATCATAGATTTAGAAGGTAAAAAGATTTTGCGATGATTTATTTTACAGATACAAGAAATGCATTTAAAATACAATGGTTGTATATTAGCATATAAAATACTCATTAAATTGGATGAGATTATAATTCATAAAATCTCGTTCAAGAAAGTGATCTTTCTAAAGTTTTGCTATTTTAATCGTGCTGATACATATTTATGATTAATCGCAGTGGAGGCAAATACAATTTAGTTGAAATTATACTTTATTGCTAAGCAATTTATCTTTTCCGTCAACAATTGAAAAATGCTGTCATATATGGGAGGTTTGCTATTAAAATCGAGTTACGAACATAGTAAATCATATGATCCGTAATGTCCCATATGTTAGTAACAGTAATAAACGACATATGGCTCAAAAGACATACGTCTTTTGCAAAACAAAAACTGATATGCTCCAAGATGATGTGTCAGAATTTTTTGACTAATGGTTAAGTATATTCTTACTTCGGATTATGTAACGATTCATTCGATCGTTAGATGATCGATGGTCCGCCGTTCATTTTGTATAGCGGAAACAACTCGATTTGATGATGATTCTGGATTAATACCAGCTTCGGATTTAAGAACATTTGCCGATATATGTACGCGCAACTTCCTAATAAAAGTAGACCAAATATACCTCCAATAATTGATCCAGCGATAATTCCGCCTTTATTTTTCTTATTTTGATCATTAGAATTTTCATTACCTGATTTATTCGATGGCGAGCCTTTAGATGAACCTCCATCTATTGGAACCGGTATCCCACGTATTGGTTGCATAAAATTTAATAAATTATTATAATTATCATCATAACTAACGTCAGATATTGATATTCCTCCGAGTGATGATACATATAAATGATTAAAAGGAACGTTTGGATCAGGAACGCTATATAGCCATGGAGTACCAGAATTATCTGTTGATTCGAATTTACGTGTCCAATTAGGATTAATAGTAGTACAAAATCTATCTGATGAATTTAGTACGGTATTTGAAAGATATTTCCATGGCCATGAATATAAAATTGAATTAATTTTAAAACAAAAATCTATGATTGATTGGATTTGATCATTTAGCTTGTTAAAATCATAGGTAGAAACAGATTTGGGAAAATCAACATATTGACTTTGTTTAATAGCTACGTTAGGTACCATTTGGACGGTATTCCCAAAATCTACACTCATAATTATTTTGTTACTATTGATTCCAGCGCCAATCCATGCTAAATATGCAGCTTGGTATTCATCTAATGGAGAGTTTGGATATGATCTATAGTTGTTATCGTCTGGCGTTTTAAATTTTGATATAAACTATTGTGATAAATTTCAATGTTAAGAAAATCAATATTATCAATATCATCTTTTAAATTTTCAATTACATCTCTACCAACTGTTAACATTAGTATTTTTGGACCTTCCATTCCATTCAATGCCTCTCGAAGGTTTTTTAAAAAATTAATGAAGTTGTCATCATTTATTTTATCCCATATCAAACCATCAGGCCTTTTACATAAACTTCCTCTCATTCCTGGATATTCAATGTCTATACCATTTAATTGATATTCGTTTATAATTTTAATTGCATCGCTAATAATTCTTTGATATTCCTGCTGCTCTTGCAGCCCTTTCGGCCATTTACCAACGTCATAATTTCTTATTGAAAGAAGAATCTATATTAAAATAATTATTATTAAAATGTTATCATATTATTAATTTAATACTAAATATTTTTAATATAATGCTTACTTTAGTAGATGACTTTAACCAAATCATTTATGGGGTTTAATTTATTCTTTTCTTTTGGACGGAAAATATCATACGAATCTCCTCCGTTGTGCTAAGTTTCAAAATTAGTAGTTATTTTAAGTAAACCATTCTAATTTGTGCGAAACTTACGCAAATGTAGTGAAAAAATTTTTCTTATATTCATACCAATAACATTTATATAATCATAATTATTCCATTGAATTTTTGGAATTGGAATTTCTGGAGTTGACTTTGGTTGATTTGTGCTAAAAAGTCGAACATATCCTATCGTTACTTGCTTATTCGCTTCCGCAACTGGCAAGTGATCTACTATACAACTTTTTGCATTCCCTATACTATCTTCCTGTGCTAACGTTATTAACGCTACTGATAATAAACCATAAGGGATAAAAACCGTAAACTTATTGAAAGGTGGTGATGGTAGTAAGGAAGAATACATTTTACGCATATTTATTTAATGTGTTCCTTTTCTCCTTTTAAGTAAAATTAAAAAAGTTTTTAATGTTTATAATGAAACGTTAAACGAAGCATTGCTTTGCTGATCTATAATTTACCGAAGCAATTTTTTGACCAATTACATCAGCAAATTAGCAAAATTGAAATCCCGCGAAATTTTAGGGAGTTGTGATACCGACAAAGTATAATTATAGTATAACATCATTGTTTTTATTTTTCTAATTTCGACTGCAAATTTATTTAGAATATTCTAAAAATAAGCTAAAGATAACAGTGATGGATATTAAGAAAAATATTTTATTTTAAATTAAATCTGAATTAACAAACTGATGAAATAATCTTGATAAGCAGTAAAATAAATTTTTGTTACTGTGCTTAATTTAGATTTTAGTTTAGTATTTTAAATTTGTTTATTCTGATAACTTTAACTCGTCATGAAATTGGATTTTTCGTTATTATACAAAATTTATAATTTTTGTTGACTTCTGTTAATTTCAATAATATTCCAATAACTTTCCAACGAGCGTATATTAATTTAATTTTGTTTTTGCTTAAAGAGCGCTTAAAGAGCAAAAAAAAAAATTAAACTATAAGGAAATAAAAAGGTATAAATTGATAAAATTATTTATTTCATTACATACTATAAGAGCAATTTTTTTCTAAAATGAATCCAGAACTTAACGCAAAATATTCCAATTTTGAGTCACGCCTTGAATAATCACTATAACAGAGACATAGTAGAAATGTTAAAAAATTTATTGTATTTTTTTATTTTTAGTTTATTTTTATTATTTCTTTTCAAGAAACACTTTATGTAAATTTATAACAAAGAGCTTTGGGCTTGATTTATTGCGTTATTATCAAAGAATTACATGACAGAATTTTAATTCATAGTGATAAATATTCGTTTCAAGAATTCCATTTATTTTCAAATAATTATTTTTTTAATTGAACTTAAAAAATATTCTAAATAGTGTGTTCATCTAACTTCTTCCATACGTTATATTCAGTTATTAACAAAGATGATGTTGCGAATAATAAAGATTGATTGTTCAAAAGACGTTTCATGCATGAAAAACTAAATGAGATAGGCGATAGAATCTCGTCCAACAAGTTCACGACTTTAAAATATTTGTGCCAAAAATCTATAATAAAGGAAATGACGTACCTCATTAAAATCCAACACATGACATTAAAATGTGAGTGTTAAAATTTTTTGAATAATTAATTTTAACAAAATACGGTTTTTAATTTAAAGATTTTGGTACATTACATCATGATCTAACACTAACTTCTGGAATACTTCACCACACCATCATTCAGAATTAAATTAGGAAAAGATATATGTGTAACTTTACTCTTTCCATTGCTTCAAATATTTAAACTAATGCATTCTTTATATTTGTTTTAAGAAAAATTTAATAGTATGGTGGTAAAAAAAATTACAAGAAAATAGAATCAAGTCACTTGGAATTATTATAATTTTACTGTGACCGACCCGCAGAAATGTGGCTACTTTTTAATTCTGGGATTTTCTGTCGAGCGATCAATTTATGCATGCAATGCATATATTTCCCGTGTCCTTATTCATGTATCAAATATAATATATTTATAATAAACGTATTTGTACAAAAAGGCCAAGAATTCGTTTCTTCAAGGAGTTATAGATTATGATTCAGATTGATATTGGATGCAAACGGTTAGACAACTTTCATATTGAATTCTTATTTTTTGTTTAATGCATCGATACCCTTACCTTTATTGTATTCTTTTGTCTTAATTATAAATAAAGCTCTATTATTTTAAGTTTACAATTAATAAAATATATTTGCTCTAATTATATAAGATCTGTAATCGAATTATATTAAAAGTTATCACGTGATACAAAAGGTAGAATTATCATTTAAGATCAGCCAATTAAAATGAAGCAAATAAAAAAAATTATTTCGCCCAAAAATATAATTTAATAATTATCTTTGTTTTTTGAATTCATTCTTTTCATTTTCTTTCAATATATATTATATAGAAAAGAAATTTTGTTGAAAGTCGTAAAAAATTATTTATAACGAACAAATTGGCACAATAAAATAGACATACATAGTGTTTATTAAATTTTTAAATTTTCATAATAATTTAATGTAATCGATATAAATGTAGAAAAATTTAACAAACGTCCTTCTTCGCAGTTTTATCATCAATAACAGACCAACCAATCATTGGCGAGACAACCACTTCATTAGAATTTTCGAGAAATTCTTGTTGCGCACCCAAAAATCCAGCAATAAATTTTAAATATAATCCGGTATCAGTTGAAAATGGGACTGCAACCCTTCCATCAGGAATATCTTCCGGTTCAATTAAATCATAAGATATCTTTGTTCCATTCTTTTCATAAGGATAAAAGGCCATCATCCATCCACTAATTTCACTAGGGCCTGAACCAAACGATTCTTCCGAGGCTATCCTTGACCAGAAGTCTTCATCAATTTCACCTTTATAAGTTTCGATTAACTTGCAAATAACAGGCTCCAATCTATCCAACCAAAAATCGAGATCTAAATTTAATCGTCGTAATTGAATGACCTTTTCTTGCACCTTTTCCCAATCTTCTAAAGTACCCTCAAGAGTAACTTTAGGAATTCCGCACATTGTACATATTTTATATGTAAAATATGCTTTAACCATATCCAAAAGAACGATACGACTAGCGGTAAGCGAATTTTTCGTTGTAGTAGAAAAATTACATTCTAAAAGAGATTTTATATCAATTTTCTCTATAGCTTGATCAGTTTTCTCAACCAATCTATTCACCACTTCAGGACAATCTCCCTCAAAGCTAGAATTTAAAATACCGTCGACCCGAACACATATCTCTTCTTTGCCTTCATGATTGACAAAATAATAACGGAATTTTTCTGCATTATAATTAATATGATGACTAACCCCCTGTGCTATAGTTAACCAGATATCATCAGGCGTTAATCGTAAATGTTGATGGTGGTTATAAGCATGAAGAATGGCAGCTGCCAATCCATGAGACGTCATCGTATATTTAAGCAGAGATTTTTTGCTTGGAGTTTCCTCATAATCAACTGAGATAGTATAAACTTTTGTATCAGGAAAAGTTTGAGAAATTCTATCTTTTATTGAAACATGTTCGTGAATTTTGTTTTCAAGATTAATTTTTTTTGTGAGGATATGAGTACTCATTTTTTTTTTTTTTTAAAAAAAAAAGAAAATTTGGCCACACAATATTTATTTGGGGCTTCGTCAATATAATTAAATCGGTGCTTTTAAGTCCAATTTTGGCAATTTACTTTCAGCCATTACTTTGCCAAAATGTAGTTGGTGATTATCATCTGAATTTAAATAAATGATCTACATTAAAATTGATAAATGAGGAATTGAAACCAAAAAATTTTCACACAGTCGTTGAAAATAATCACTAAATTGTTCAGAAAAAAAAAAATAACGCATCTAATTCTTTACAAAGTACATTTGAAATTTGGCATCTTATAGAAAACGATAACTTTTCGAGTATTTCATTGGATAATAGCATGTTATGTAATGTAACATATTATTTGCTTAGTGAATAGTAAGTAAGTGGCACATGGTTACGTGTCACTAATTTCGAACATTCCGAATAAACCACACTTTTCGTATTACAAATCTACTTGATGATTAATACAGCTTTGTGCATTTATAGGCAAAATAAATACAGCTCTATCAGCAGTTCACATTCCTAAACAAAAATCCTCTTTTTAACAAAAGCACCTTTTTACAACCTGGCTCAAAGCAAGACTACTTACCAAAATGCAAACAGAATCCAAGAGACATAGAATTTTAATGGGGGGCGATAGTTCATTTTCGTTACATTGGTTATCACTTATTTGCAATTATTTACTATGAAGAAAATTCAAACTTTTATAATCATTCTAAATATTACCCATTTTCATGGTACAAATTTCCCTTATTTTAACAAAAGTAGAAGTAATAGACAGAGTAAAACTTATGTGATTTCCATTTTTTTTTGTATTAATTGTTTAGGACCACTTTATTAGCTGAAACAATTCTTCAACTCCTATTTTATTAGCATGAAAATATCAGTTTTCAATTATATAATTCTATATATTTATGCAAAATTCATTTTTTTTTACTATTATTTTTTATATCTTTAAACTTAATTCTTTATGATTTATAATTGTGAATATATTATGAAAGAGAGGTAATATACCATCTCTACATTAAATTACTAAAATTGATCATTACAATATCTTAAATTTTTAAAAAGTCTTTAAAAAAAAGCAATTTATTCTAATAAATGTTATTGTTAATCTTATACATAAAAAAATAATTTTTTCTGAGAGTTTTTTAACCAAAAAGAATGTGCAAAAAAGAATTAATAAGTAAATAATGAGAACAAATTATCACGTCTATCTTGCTAATACTAACAGTCTAAAAATATTATTAAGTTTTAATATTTCTTTTGCAATAGTATATAATACTATTAACCAATATAAAAAAACTGATTATTTACATTCTAACAAATATTCTGAATAATTAAAAACATTATCTAATCATAAAAATGTTTTTTATAAATTATTTATAAAAAATAAATTTACTTCTCTTAGTAAAATAATAAACCAATTAAATAATGATCTTTTTACTAATTATTATTCCATAAATAAATTTAAAAATTGTACTATAAGAAAAACTTCTTTTAACTAATAAATATCAAATTAATTGATTAAATTGGTATAAAGAAAAAATATAATTAACAAGAAAAGTAGAAAAGTACTATATAGTTAGATGAAAATAAATTTGCTTTTTTTAAATCAGATAATCAAGCAAGAGTATGGCTTAAGGCTAGAGAGATTTATAATATAACTTATATTTAACCTACATTAAAATTTGATAATAATTTAGTAACGTTTTAAGAGTATTTTTCTTGATATAGTATTGGCTTTTAGTTGTAATAAAATG